CCGCTCCGGAGCTTCCTCTTCCGGGTCGCCGCGCTCAGTCCCCGCCTTCGTGCGTAGAAGCCTGGCGGGAGGCGGTGGGGCCTGCATGCAAATAAGATGGCAGTGGGCGTGGCTTCCTTCGCCCCCCCCCCACCCCGCGCGTAGAACCCTTTCAGGAGGCGACGTAGGGAAGAGGAAAAAGGGGGCGGGGCCAGCATGCAGATCCAGACGGTGGGTGTGGCTTCCTTCCTTCCGCACGCTCCGCGCCTAGAACCATGTCAAGCGGAGGCGTATGGAAGATTAATGGGCGTGGCCTGCATGCAAATAGACCTGCGGTGGACGTGGCTTCTTTCCGCACCCACCCTCCCCATCCCGCCCGTAGAAGCCTGGCAGGAGGCGCCGTAGGAAAGAAAAGGGGGCGGGGCCTGCATGCAAATAGATGGCGGTGGGCGTGGCTCCCCCGCGTAGAACCCTGGCAAGAGGCGGTGTAAAGGAAGAGAAAAAGGGCGGGGCCTGCATGCAAATAGACCTACGGTGGGCGCAGCTTCCTTTTGCATCTCCTTCTCTTGCAGCAGGGAAGGGGGAGAAATTGGGGGAAACCCCCCTTATTAAACCCCCCCCTCCCCAGCCATGGGGTGCCCCCAAACCCCCAGCCTGGGAAGAAGCCCCCCCTTTTCACCCTGCTTGTCACTTTTTCCTGCCCCAAACAACCCTCTTGCAAGGTAGGACAGTGGGGGGGGGGGGCAAAGCTGGCTCGGAGGGGTCCTTAGGTCATCTAGTCCAGCCCCCTTTTGCTTTCCTGTAGGCACCCTGATAAAATGGGCCCACCCCTCTGTTTGCAGGTGTTCCATGGAAAGGGGTCTCTGTGCCCTCCCTCGAGCCTCCCGCCCGTTTAGTACCTGGAATCGTCACCTAAAACAATGTTGGCTGTTTAGCACTGGGAGATGGGAGACCACCAGGAGATCTCCGGAACGAGAAGAAATTGCCGGGAAACCAAATGCATTCTGATGTTTTTAAACGTGTTTTTTTTTTGCAGCTGATTCAATTACCGACTCGCAGGCAAGCTGGCAAATGTGTCTTTTTCACCGCAATAATGCAGGTAGTCCTCGACTTACGGCGGTTCATCTAGTGACTTGTTCACAAAGTTGCAACGGCACTGGGGGGAAAAAAGGGACTTCGGACTGGGTTTTTGGCGTGGACGGCAGCAACATCCCTGCGGTTACATGGGCCAAACTCCGACGCTTGGCAACTGACGCACATTAACAACAGTTTGTGATGTTACGGTGTCACGTCATCCCCTTTTTTGCGACCTTCAAAACGGGGAAGCCGGATTCACTTAACAACCGAGTCCCTGACTTGTCAACGGTGGTGGTTCATTTAACAACAGTGGCAAGCTGTTACTAATACAAGCTGAATAGTCAAGATCTTGTTGATGATCCAAGCTCTGTCAAGGACCTTGGAATACTCATCTCTAATGTTCTAAGTGCTAGAGCCCACTGTAATTACAGAGCCCAAAAAGGCATTAAGAGTTGTTAACCTAATCTTACGTAGCTTTTTCTCTGGTAATATCACACTACTAACCAGAGCATACAAAACATTTGCTAGACCAATACTCGAATACAGCTCATCAGTCTGGAACCCACACTACATATCTGATATTAGCACAGTTGAGAAAGTCCAGAAATATTTCACAAGAAGAGTTCTCCACTCCTCTACTCGTTGCAGAAGACCTTATGCCACCAGACTTGAAATTCTAGACCTAGAAAATCTAGAACTACGAGGCCTTCGGTCCGATCTAAGTATAGTATGTAAAATCATACATTGCAATGTCCTGTCAATGAATATTTCAGCTTCAATCATAACAATACAACAGCACACAATAGATACAAAGTCAAGATAAACTGCACCAAACTTGATGGCAGGAAATACTTCAGCCACAGAGTGGTCAATGTCTGGAATCCTCTACCTGACTCTGTGGTTTCTTCCCCAAACCCCAAAAACTTTAACCTTAGACTGTCTACTATGGACCTCACCTCTTTCCTAAGAGGTCTCTAGGGGGCGTGCATAAGTGCACCAATGTGCCTACCGTCCCTGTCCTATTGTTTCTTTTTATTTTTCTTATTCGTATCCATTTTATGTATTCATAACTATGTCGATATTTATACCTGTTATCTTATAATTGCTTGACAAAATAAAATAAATAAAAATAAAGAAATCTCTGCTGGATCTGTTCCTCGCCCTGGCCTACCTCGGAGGGCTGGTGTGAAGATCCTGTGGAGCTGATAAAGTTGGAAGCTGTTCTCCAGCCAGGCAGCCAGCTTGCCGAGGCTCAGTTCTTTGGACAATTACCCGGGACATACAACTACCTTCACTTCCAGGCGTCCAAGGGTTGTGGTGATCTCACACACGCGTGTGCACAAGGACAGGACAAGCGTGATGTTTCTTACCCACCCTTGAAGATCTGATGATCATGGCGGACTGGGTATCTATGGGTGGTCTCTTTTCCCTAGCGATCTTTCACCATGGCAGTTTATTATTTATAAGTAACTAGCTCGATCCCCGTGCTTCGCTACGAAACTCTGTGGTTGGGCTTAGTTTTGGGGGAGGAAAATAAGGGGGGGGGGGAATTCTGCCTCCGCCTACCAGCATCCATCGGTATTCATCTGGCTAGCATCCTGTCAAGTGTGGGAGAGTGGAGGGCTGTTTGGAAACTGAAAGAGTATTTGCTGTGTGAGCAAGTTTGTAGGCTTTACGGTTCTGGAGATTTTGTGATGATGCGTGAGGGGCATTTCCCTTTATATATATATATAGATAGATATACTATGTGGAAAGGTTATTCTATTCTACTATATTATAATGTTTGAGTGGCATTTTGCTTTCATATAGAGAGAAATTAGGATTCTTTATTCTGATTTGAGGTCGGTACCGATAATCCTCCATTTTACAACCAAACCTTTAGCAACCGTTCCAAGTTACAACACCACTGGAAAAGGTGACTTACGGATGGTCGTCGCGCTTACGACCGCGATGGCATCCTTACAATCGCGGGATCAAAATGTGTGTGTGTGTTTATGACGGGGGTCTTCCTTTGCGACTGTCCCAGGTGGCTTCGGGCAAGCAAAGTCAATGAGGGAGGCCAGATTCACTTAATGACTGCCTGATTCACTTAACAATTTGCTGTGATTTGCTTTTGTGAAGTGAGTTTTGGCCCCATATTACATTTCTTGCCGCCGTTGTTATGGGAACCACTGCAGTTCAGTGAGTAACCTGGTCGTTAAGCGAATCCGTCTTCCCCATTGATTTTGCTCGTCAAATGGTTGCAAAAAGAGATCCTGTCTCTCTCTCTCACACACACACATCTCCGGGATACTGAAACCGTTGTAAGTACATGCCAGTTTCCAAGGGTCTGAATTTTTGATCATGGTGGACGCTGCAACGGTCGTTAAGAGGGCAAAAAACGGTCCTGCGTCGCTTTTTTTCAGTGCCGTCGTAACTTTCGAATGGACACTAAACGATTTGTAAGTCCAGGACCATCTAATAAAAAAAAAATGCACAAAAGTTGCAGAACGGACACTAAACGAACGGTTGTAACTCCAGGACCGCCTAATAATTAAAAAAAAAAAAGCACAACAATTGCAGAGTTCTTGTTCACAATTTGCTTTTGGGATCTGCTGTTTTCTGGATGCTAAAATCCAAATTTATTTTCTTCTCTTGTTTTATTTCTCACTTTATTCGGAAGCTGCTCGGGGAAACCTTGGGAGTGACACGTCATAAATAAGAGGACAGGAAAATTGCATAGGGGTGTGTGTGTGTGTTATTAAATCCCATTTATGTGTGTGTGTGTTTGTGTGTTGGGGGGAAGTCACCAAAGACACAGACAGAAAAGTGGTTGAACTGTGGTTTATAAACCCTCGGAGGGGGGGCGGGAGAAAGGGAAACAATTCATTTTTTTTGTCCAAAAAAAGGGGGGGGAGAGAGGGAAATAATAATAATACATCCAGAAAACAAACTCCCCCTCCCACAGATTCCAACAAATGTAAAAAAAAAAAAAAAAGGTAATTCTTGCCCACCCACCCCACAAACAAATAAAGTGAAAGAAGCAGCATAAATAGCATTTAAAATACAAATTAAAAAGAGGGGGAGAAATGGGATGAGGACCACGGGCTCACGTCCTTTCCGCGCCCCCCCCCCCCAAAAAAAATCCCCTTTTTTTTTTTTCCTGGCGGAGGACACAACACAAAAAAAAGGGGGGGGGGGGGGGGGGGGGGGGAAAGAGGAGGAGGATGGTTGTGTGTGTGTGTGTGTGTGTGTGTGAGGGTGCTGCACACGTACCCCACGAGACACCCCCCCCCAAAATCCCGGTTAAAGCGGGTTGGGGGAGGGGTGGCGGGAGGGGGCAGCATTTGTCAGACCGGGAGAATGAAGAGAGAACGAAAGAAAATCGGAATAAGATGTGTGTGTGTGTGTGTTTTTAATGGGGAGGGTCCCCCCCCACAATTGGTCTTGGTGGGCTTCCGGGCGGGATGGGGGCGCAAGCTGTGCCGCCTTTTTTCGCCCCCACCCCCCCAGGGAGGGGGGGGGGGGACGCGGCCCCCACCCCCCCAAGAATGGGGGGGGGGGGGTCGTGTAGCAAGAAGCGACACCCCCCCCACAAAAAAATGTAGAACTCTGGATTAAGGGGAGGCGGGGGGGGGTTGAGATTAAACCCCCCTCCCCGGTGTTTTCTTAAGTGCCTGCCCAGGGGAGGGGAGTCTTCCTCAAGGAAGATGAGCCCCCCCCCCCCCCCCTGCCCCAAAAGACCCCCCCCCAAGGAAAGAAACGGACCTGGTCATCGGGAGATGGTCGTAGGTCTGTAGAAATCCCTCCCTTCCTGGGGAAGGGGACAGATGGGGAAAGGGGTGTCCGAAAGACCCTTCCCCACATCCTTTTGTGGCAACTCAAGACCCCTCCCCTTTTTCCCACCCCCCCCCCCCCCCCCCCCCCCCCCCCCCCCCCCCGCCGCACCGCTGCCCCCCCCCCCCCCCCCCCACCGTTCCTTCTCCTCTTGCCGTTTCCAGCCGGTTCTGTGCCGTTGTGGTGGTGAGGGGGTTTGGCAACACCGCGGAGGGCCGAAGGCGGCCGGAGGGAAAGGTTTGGTGGTCTCACTCCACACGGATGAGCAGGCCGAAGAGAACCGTAGCACCTTTCTCCTTGGTGACCCACTCGATCTCGGCACTGCTGAAGCGGGGGTCCACGGGCTCGGGGGCGGCCTGGGTGGGGGGGCAGACCTTGTAGGAGCCCGGACGGACGCATACCTGCAACGCCACCTGGGCCGAGTGCTGTCGGTGAGATTTTGGGTCTTTGAATCTGAGAGGGGGGGGAAAAAGGAAAAAACAACAACACATGGCTGGGCTTACTTACATGCCGAGATCGACAGGCTGAAGGTGGGGGGGTCAAATGGAGGCCCGTCAAGCTCAAAATTCTGAACGAGCGAAGGAAGGATTTAAATCTGATTTTTTTTAAAATTTAAATCTGATTTTTTTTTAAATTTAAACTGGATTTTTAAAAATTTAATCGGATTTTTTAAAATTTAAATCAGATTCTTTTCTTTAAATAGGATTTTATTTAAATTGGATTTTTTAATTTAAATTGGATTTTTAAAAATTCCAATCAGACTATATTTCCCTCCCTTTGAAAAACTTTTTCAAATTTCATGTGTAGCTTGACTTTTTTTTGCTTTCCTAGTTTGCTTCTTCAAGTAGAAACCAAGCGGGCAATGCAGAGCATAAAATAGACATTAAAAAAATACATTATTATTATTATTTCTTTAAAGTCACGCTTGATGGCTTTTTTCCGGCGTCCCCACAACCGCTTCTTCGAAGGAGAATTTCCGGGGTGGGGTCCAAATTCAAAGACAGCCCCAAAGGGAGAAATCAACATTCTG